ATATAAATTGGCTCTAGTGAAGTAATGGGTTTCGCGCCGGGCTACTAAAGCGAAATCGCAGGTCCACAATCAAACGTCAGGTAAAACCAAACCCGATTACAATCATTTTCAAATTATTACGACCGACGAAGATAATACTGGTCATTATAATTCATGCAAGAAGCATCCCTACAACGACACTGGGAATTTTCTGGTCAAATTAAAATAATAACTCTATAAACTTTGACATCGCACAATAATTGTATTGTGTCACATGACTTTCTATTTATTTTATTCGTGTATGTAGAACCGCGAGTCGTTTCAAACTAAGAATTTTCCCCACAGTACCTGCCGAGTTTGGTTATGGTAGAGAAGAATGCCATAGGTACCCAGGAAGGCCGAAGAATGAGAATTATTGGTGAAAATAAAAAGAGAAGGCCATGAATGATCGTAACAAGTTCAAATACTTGCAGCCCTTTAATTAAAACTTTAAGACGTGGACGGGATATTAGAGCTTGCCTCGGTTGGGGGTAGATATTTTGTTGGGGAAAATCTCGGCAACCGGTGTGTAGGGCTGCGCCGAATTTGAATCCAGCAGGGGAAGATCACCGCCATCTCCCATAAAATGCATGCACTTCACTTACAGGACAAACGATCATAGTAACGCACCCGGAAAATAATCGATCGATCAAAAACACAAAAAAAACTTTTCAAAATTTTGAAATTGTTTTTTATCTTAAAACTATCCCCCTTTTGCTAGGTAAATATAACAAATTTCTTCATAATGTTATGCATTACGTGATACTGCAACATATCAGCAGTGTTTCTATTTTTTATGATGACCACGTTTTATAAATCATTGAAGTTAAATGTAAAAAAAACGAAGTATTGTTAAATGAAGTACAGAAAATCCTAACTTTTATCAGATAAAGTCAACTTATATATGAACGGTTCATTTTAAATTAACAAAAATGTGTAATAGTATAATTAAATGTTTAATGTAAGAGGGAGTGTATCATTATCTTGTAGCAACATCAACATTGCGGATTAAATGCTTTAAAGCCCATTAAAAATTATGTATATTCGGTGTAATCTAAACTCCAAAATGCAAAGGAGATGGCTCTGTCTTGCTATCAGCATGGTTAGAATTCCCCAAGAAGCACCTTCTTAATTCATATCTTCCGGGAAATACCTCAGCATACACAAGTATTGAATCGCTGAGTGATTTCCGAGAAACACAACGCCTTTCACGACACCTGACCAAGGCGACTAAGAAAACATAGTTTTATTTAGGTATGATGAGAGAGCTTCAAATAGCAGTCAAAGAAAGTCGCTAATGAATGAATTAAAGCGTTCACTACAATTGATCTGTTAAATATATGAACGTGCTCTGAGTACATTGTAAAATGCAACATAACAAAAAAAAATTTCTGAGACTGAAAGAAATTTAACTTGAAAACACGGTAAATAACTAATTGAAATCAATAGTTTCCTTTCCGAGTTTAATAAAAAACAATTAATTTTTTGGAGTTAAAATTTTTAAGTCAGTATGATTTGTTTGTTTTGGATATCTATGTGGCTCTGTTTTCAGTGAATTACGTAAAAATTAATCAAGTGTATTGAATTGTAATCTCTTCTCATTTTCATTATTACAATTAAAGTTAATATTTGAAATAATTTGAATATACTGTTTGAATCGTTCGACAACAATAAGTTATTCCTGTAGATGTATTAAAACTTGTTAAAATTAAAAATGTGTTATTAATGGATTGTTGTATAAACATATTTGCAAGTTAATTGCGTGAGTGCAAGAATGGCGTAATAGAAGTAACGAAATGAAGGATTGTAATTAGTTGAAAGTGAGAAGTAAAAATATACGAAGATGATAAGGAGAATAAATCAGGAGGAATGAACGAATAGTACGAGAGTAAAACACAATACGAAAAACGTACTAAAGTAAAAGCAATAAATACTGGATTTCAAAGAACTCGCGTTCTTCAGACATTTATTTAAATTGGCAATAGACTAATTTGTAATCAAAGAATTATACATGTAAATAATTTTTTTCAAAAGGAGGTTTTGAAGTCTTCTCGTAATCGAACTTTATACAATAAATAGATTGAACTCTTGAGAACATTTTCCAGGCAATAGGCAAAAATCATTAGGAAGTAGCACATCCCAAAACAAGCTATCCAAGGTCCGGGAAGTGCAAGTGAACCATTCCTACAGGCTACCAACCCACCATGCCTGTCCCCTTCAATTTCATTCCACGCGAATGATTTTTCAAAATATCCGGTTTTATGACTGAACAGACCGGTTGATTTATTGATTAACGATTCCAGGCGCGTCAACTATTAAAGTCATTTGTCCCGGAAATGTAGTGCAGTTCTTTATCGCGGGAGAAGGGGTATTCTTCTCCCACTGGATGGAGAGATCCGGCGAGGAACTAACCGTCAGCTTGCGAAGTAACCACGTATCTCCTACCACCTCTCAACCCAGCCGGGACGAGCTTTAAGTTCCCGACTGGTCTCCCGGCGTATGTGTGGTAGTACAGTACATATAAGTGTGTGTGTGTAGTAAGAGGTGAGGATAGCTCAAGGATGGGGAAGGAAAGTTCGCGCACTGATTGTGGCCGTTTGTTAGGGTACTCTTCCATCATTCGCCTGGTGTTGTTCAAAGAAAACAATGGAAAAGTACCCATCCACTAAAAACTATTGGAAATACCTCAGTAGCTGGCCTCTGGTATTTGTTTTCAGACAGCAAGTGAACTGGACCTCGCTATCAAGCTGGAGTGGGATACCCTGCCATGGACGAAACTCGAACCCAAGGACTTCCACGTCGGAGACCTTGCAGGGAACAGGGCAACGCAGTGGTCTCACCTGTCTGGGCGGCGGGGGCTGGCCGGCGCCGCCGCCCTTGAAGGCGCTCCGGAGGTCGCCGTTGCGCAGCTGGGCCTCGGCCGCCGTCGGCGCCGCGAACGTGGGCGACAGCAGCGCCTGCAGCGGCCCCGGCGTCTCCGCGCCCGCGTACTCCGAATCTGCAACGCCACACGCCGCTCTCAGCACACACACTCTCCCTCTCCCCCTTTCCCTCTTCCTCCTCCTTCTCCCTCTCTCCCTATCTTCCCCCTTCTCCCTCTTCCCCTCTCCTCCCTCTTCCTCTCTCCCCTTTCCCTCTCCTCCCTATCTTCCCCCTCTCCCTTTCCCTCTCCTTCTCCCTCTTCCTCTCTGCCCCTTTCCCTCTTCGTCCTCCTTCTCCCTCTTTCCCTCTCCGTCTCCCTCTCTTCCTCTCTCTTTCTACATCATCCTCTTCCCCCCTCCCCCTCTTCCTCCCTCTCTTTCAGCCTCTAACCCTCACTTACTCTCCCTCCTCCCTCTCTCTGTCCTTCTATTTTTCTCCCTCTCCCTTAGCGAGAGTATTCTAGCTTTCTAATGATACCCTTAACACGGGCTGTGCCTTCAAAAGGTGTCCCTTAAAACGACGATATTCGCACTGATTATTTGCTTACACCCCGTTTCCAGATCTATACTTCTAAGAATTGGTATTTACACAAACCTCTTTATGATTCCTTTACTAAAACTGCAAGAAATACATTGTATTTTGTTGCATTTGTGTACGTTTAATAATCTGCTAAATTATATTTTTACGTTTCTTTAAAATATGCATACCTTGCACGATTGTCTGTGTAACTGTATTATCAAATACCATGTTTGATGTTGATCATTAAACGAATGAAATTAAAGATCATGTATCCATGACTATCTAACAAATAAAATAGAAGACCTAGAAAACCAAACAAGAGGATAATAACAAGAAGAAAACGCAGAAAGGGAAGGTGAGTGGGGGAAGTGAGAAGTCAGTGTCAAATTAGGAAAGACAGAAAGGAAAGAAGATAGAAAAGGAAAAGAAAAATGAGGAAAAAAAACAAAGGAAAAAAAGGAGTGGAGAAACGAGGAGAAGGAAATGGAGATGAGATGGTGGAGGGGAAGGGGAAAGGAAATGAAGGAGTAATAGGAGGAGATGATAAATTTAGATAAACTAATTTGATTATAGAATTATCGGGCAAACATATTCTCCGTGCGAATTTGTTCTTCCTGATTGACTGGAGTAAATATAATGCAAAGTTAATTCTAGGGATAACTTTCTTTTGGACTTCTTTCGTTTTTTGAAGATGTTCGGTGCAATGCAGTTTCCCGTCTGAAAACATCGTTTTCGAGAAACAAAACTCTTTCTGAACTACAGCCTGTTGGAAAGGACATTATCGTACAGCCGTCTAGAAATATTGTCACTTCTGTGATACCCTGCATTATTTGAGGTCAGCTCTGTTTCTCAGAACTTCACTTATACAGAATGTCTAAGAAACGTTCTACTAACCAGATCTTCATCTATTCCGACTGTCTCAGAGATACTCTTGAACAGAGTATTACATTAACACATCGTCTACAAGATCTCCTTCCCACTACATCACTTAGTCATGTCTAATAGCAGCTCTTTTGAGCAGAACTTCACTTATACAAGATGTGTCAGAAACGTCCTGTTGGGAAAAACCTCACTTACACAAGATGTCTGAGATACGCTGTGCTGAATAGCACATCACTGATACGTAATTCTCAGAATTAATGTTTTGGGACGTGTCATGAGGCCAAAACGTTTTGCCACATAACTGATGATGAAGCCTCACATGACGAAGATACCCATGTCAGTTGCCTCTGATAGGTAGGCCACCGAATGTGCAAGTTTGTCAAGTCGCGTTTGATTCAAAGAAATTTCCCGTACCTTCAGTACACCGGTGCCATTCACCGCGATAAAGATCCTCAAGTGTTGGGTACAATAACAGGGGTACAACGGGGAAGTGTTTGGCTTACCGTTGGTGCACGGGATGACGTCGGGATTCTTCTCGTCGCGGTCCACGTCGGCGCCGGCGTCCGCCCGCAAGGGCTGCCGGCCTCCGGCCGCCGCCGCTGCCGCCGCCGCCGCCTTCTCCTTGAGGGCCA